AGAGGATGAGACAAAAAGGGGGAATAAGATGAGGGTAAATTAGTAATTAAAGTCTCACGAAAATAACTTTTAAAATATTTATAATGGTAAGTATGTAATTAAATGATTGTTTAGGTTATATTAGACAACAAAATTTTGCCATGTCATTAGTTTTTACAAATGAATTTTCCACGTAATTTAAGTAAAGAAAAAAAAATAAGTTTTTCTATTAACTGACTCCCACCTGTCAACAAATTTAATAAAGGGACTAAAAAGGGATCAGATTTCAAATTTTAGGGACTAAAAAGGGGATTTTTTCAATACAGGAACTAAAAAGAGGCTTTTTCCTATAATAGAGGGATCAAAAAAGATATTTTATTATAAGAGTTTAAAAGATAAATATAGGTAGTGAACACTGAAAACTTACTTATATGGTCGGTAAAACGTGAGGTAAAGAAGTGATCATAATGTGATAGTGGTGTTATAAATGAGTTTATAAATACCTTTTTTTTCATTGTATTTCTCTCTCTACTATTTAATTTCACAAAAGTTTTTTTTTTAGAATAAGTGATTACTAGTAACTTAACTGTCAGGTTTTTTTTCTAAGGACAATTCTTTGAGATGTTTAGGTAATAGAGTAATTCCAACATCTACTAGAAGGTTTTAGCTCATGAAACAATTAAAACAATTGGCATTGTCTGTGGGACTCTAAAATGAAATAACCATATAGCTCTACAATTTAAGAGTAATCATGATACGAACTTTTACAAGGAACCAACCACCTCAAACAAACCAAATGAAGGATCAAGGCAATGCCCAATTCCCTGGGTATGGACCTAGAGAATACATGCAAATGCTTGAGAATTTGTTCGCAAGAGGAGTTAAAGAAGTATAGGATAATAGCTCTAATGAGGAACGTACTTTGATAGGTTATGCTACACAACCCAAAGCACATGAATATAGAACTTCAAGGGGTGTTCGATCGAATCGGTATCCAACTCGCATGTCATTATGACCTCAGGTCCCTATGCTGATGATATAGAACTCTGAGCTAAAAGAGAGAACTAGGATCTTGGATATGGCCATGGGAAGGATTATGACACCTCATTCCTAGAGACCAATTGATTCCTTTGTTGAATCAGACAGAGTAACTGGCTATCGCACCATGTCAGTGTTCCCCGTTCTAAGCAATATTGTGTACCAACAAGACGCAAGGGAAGTGGGCGACCTCACGCTGAGCTAAGCTCTTCTAAATCTAATGAGGAGTTGTTGAAAAAGAATGCTAAGCTGAAAAAGCAACTTAATGAAATTCAAAAGTCTATTAATAAATTGAAGAATCCCATATGTTAACTTCAAGCCCCAGATCCAGATAATGCCTCTCTTAGCCCATCTATCATGTCCAAATCATATCAAGAAGGATTTAAGATTCCTCACTCGGACACGTATGATGGTTCAACATATTCAAATGAGCATCTACTCTCTTTCCAAACCATCATGAAAATATAATGTTCCTGGCACCATGATGTGCAAAGTAATCCCAATCACATTGAAATCGACAACTGGAAGGTGGTGTCATAAACTCCTAAATCACCTAATTACTTCACATTCCTTACTCGCCACATTGTTTTCCAACAAATTAGCTAGCTAGAGAGAAATCAAGTACACAACAATCAAGCTTATGCAGGTTCACCAAAAAGAGGGTGAAACCTTACGAGACCACATGCAAAGGTTCAATAAACCTTGGTTCAAATTTCAAAATTTCATAATCTTCTTAAGGATGAGCTTGAAAAAGATAAAATCCCAATCCAAATTTCAAATTTTAGAAGATTCGAAATGCTGAGCTCTTAAAGATAATACATCAATAAAACCTTGATAAAGCTGGTAAAGATAAGGTCTTAAATCTTAGAATTTTGGAGAATTGTTTTTAATAGGTGAACTCGTAAAGGGGAAATCTCAATTCAAACTTGTTGCTTGCCATTGTTAGCTCATCATAAAGCAACTCGTCAAGGCAACATTAGGCCATGTCAACAACCATTATGAAATGTGGAGCTTATATAGATAATACATCAATAAAACCTTGATAAAGCTTGTAAGGATAAGGTCTTAAATCTTGGAATTTTGGGGAATTGTTTTTAATA